CAAATATGATTTAATAAGTACATTAAATATATAATCAAATCATTTTTATTATAATTCTAGCTTCTCTGATTCCATTGTAGTAATATTGTAGTAACATTGATTATATAATCTTTTTCTTTGTATATCAAAATAAATTAATTCTATAATCATAATTTAAAAGCGCATTTTCTAATATATTAATAGTACCAAAAATCTATAGTTGAAATTATATAGACATTAATCCAATTTAATGATAAGAAGAATTAAGAATCTTAAAGATAAGACTCTTAAGAGTCTTATATGTTTATGATTTTTATAATTTTTTTTATCAACTATATATATATATATATACAGGGTGACCCATTTTAACTTCCCCACCGGATTATCTTGAAAGAAATGCATTTTCTGAAAAAAAGTTTCGGATATAAGTTTTAGTATTTTTCCCTGGCTATTTAACGGCAATATTGAATTTGACCTTGAGTGTGAATGTGGAGGTCATTTAAAGGTCAAGTTAATTTTTTTAAATGGGAACCACTATTTTTTATCGCAGATTTGGAAAGAGCGGAAAATTTCACGTCCGAATATGACCTTGATAATGATCTACAGTTCAATGTCAAGGTCGTTTCAAAGTGAAAGTTCCAGACGTCCATTACGACAAAATATCACGGCGGGATTGCTTTGGTTGGAAAAATGTTAGATGCATAAGTTTCAGTATTTCGAGTTGGCTTCCTGGTGGTGACCTTGAAAGTAACCTTGGAACCAAGATTAGGGGTCATTTGAAGGTCAAAATATTTTTCTTAATGGAACCAACTATCTTTGAATCCGGGATCGAAAAGAGCGGTAAATTCTGCGTTCAGACATATCATTTTGTAATTAAAAATAATTTTATCAACTCTGGCTTTAATGTTTTAAATAAGTGTTCCTGTTTAATGCGTTATTTGTAGGTCCCTGCTCTTGGCATTATCTACGATCAACGACGTGGACGTAGCAGAAATCTGATCGCTCCGGGGTGATAGATTAACGAGAGTGTGGCACGCGTTTGTAGATAATTTCAAGGTCAAGTCAGTTTAAGGTCACTTTTCAAGATTATTGATTGATCTTTAAATTTGCTCCCAAGGTGAAACATACTTGACCTTTAAATTTGACCCCAAGGTCAAACATACTTGACCTTGAAATGACCTTTAAATTTGACCCCAAGGTCAAACATACTTGACCTTGAAATGACCTTATTTGTAATTATTTTTAATTACAAAATGATATGTTTGAACGCAGAATTTACCGCTCTTTTCGATCCCGGATTCAAAGATAGTTGGTTCCATTAAGAAAAATATTTTGACCTTCAAATGACCCCTAATCTTGGTTCCAAGGTTACTTTCAAGGTCACCACCAGGAAGCCAACTCGAAATACTGAAACTTATGCATCTGACATTTTTCCAAACAAAGCAATCCCGCCGTGATATTTTGTCGTAATGGACGTCTGGAACTTTCACTTTGAAACGACCTTGACATTGAACTGTAGATCATTATCAAGGTCATATTCGGACGTGAAATTTTCCGCTCTTTCCAAATCTGCGATAAAAAATAGTGGTTCCCATTTAAAAAAATTAACTTGACCTTTAAATGACCTCCACATTCACACTCAAGGTCAAATTCAATATTGCCGTTAAATAGCCAGGGAAAAATACTAAAACTTATATCCGAAACTTTTTTTCAGAAAATGCATTCCTTTCAAGATAATCCGGTGGGGAAGTTAAAATGGGTCACCCTGTATATATCAAGTATATACATAAATTCTAATAACACAACTTGGAATATAATTATTCATGTTCGGTTGTCTCTATTTTAAACATCTTGTAACAAAGAATATAGCTAAATAAGTATATTTAGACTCTGTGACGTTTAGCAAATGCTATCAAACCATTAGTCGATGAATCATGTGTTGTGATATTTTCTGCACTAACCAGTTCTGGTTCAATGGCTTTAGCTAGCTGTTTCCCCAACTCCACGCTGTATATAGAAATATTAATTTTTTTAAGAATTCCGTTAAAGAATTTGTATATATTGATAAAGAACTTTCATGCAAAAATATAATTTTTTTTCTTACCCCCATTGATCATATGAATTGATGTCCCAAATAATACCTTGCACAAAGATTTTATGTTCATACATTGCTGAAAAAAATAGAAGTAAAAAATTACGATTGTCTAACTGTATGATTATACGTACTTTGATATACAGATTATACTTTAATATCCAATAAACCATAATACAATCAGCAAAGAAATGATTGCACACATGAAAATATAAGTAAAATTTATATTAACCAATGCTTTTGATTTATTGCATGATTTTTGAAAAAAGTATTCGAGAAAATATAAAGAATATTTATTTCGCCAATTGCGTCATGATTTGTCAAACGTGTACATACACACACACGCACACACACATATATATGTATATCATTATTGTGTATTTACCAATCAAAGCACCAAGAATAAAAGGTGTCAGTTTTTTTACTACAATGCTGTTTGTCGGTCTGTTTCCTTCAAACAATTTGTGTGGTAATAATGAATCTATTTGTTCAGCGTTCAATCCTGATTTTTGCAATTCAGCTCGAGCTTCATTTTTATTCTTGCCTTTCATTAAAGCTTCAGTTTGCGCAAAGAAGTTGGCAAGCAAAATCGTGTGATGTGGAGCAATCTGCACAAAGTATACAAATAAAAATATATAATAACAGATAAATAAAATATTATTAAAAGAAATAAATCCTAAAATAAAAGAAGCCAATAAGAGCTAACATTGGATGTGCACAATAGATTATTAAAAATTAACAATAAATGTTTCGATATCATGATTTGGGTCATCCTCAGCATAAGTGCAAAACTAATGTATTACATGTATTATAACAGATAAGTCTAATAAATATAGTAATATAAAAAATTATTCACCTGATTTTGAGTTTGAACAGGAATTATAAAATCTGCTGGTACAAGTCTTGTACCTTGGTGCAATAATTGATAGAATGCATGTTGTCCATTAGTGCCAGGTTCTCCCCATACAATTGGCCCTTAAAAAAACACAACAAATGTTAATCTATTATCTGTTCAGTGTATTTAAAAATCTATGTATTCTGGATAATATAGAATATACCAGTGGAATAATTTACGGGTTTTCCAGAACGAGTAATATACTTTCCGTTACTTTCCATATCACCTTGCTGAAAGTAAGCTGCAAATCTATGTAAATATTGGTCATATGGTAATAATGCATGTGTTTCAGCCTTATAAAAGTTATGATACCATATGCCAAGTAAAGCTAATATAACAGGAACCTACAAAGAATAAGTTAAATCATAAAACATGTAATAAAATCATTCTCCAATTTCTTCACTTCCAGATAAGTTACGAATAACCTTATCCAGGAGACATCTCCATTGTAATCTAAAGATATCTAAAAAGGTGAAGAAATTGGACATAAGTCATTATAATATACAGTTTATATCATAATATATATGTAATAAATCATTTTAAAAATTAGAAACTCTCATTTGTGTGTGTGTGTGTGTGTGTGTGTGTGTGTGTGTATGCGCGCGCGCGCGTGTATATATGTATATATATATGTACTTTGGACTTGAGTTTAGTCAATTTATTTAGTTTTATTAGTTTTTAATTTTCAAGATTATTTTTGAGTAATCAATAATTTTTAGTAGAAAAAAAAATATATATAATTTCTTTTCATTCAATGTACTTACATTTTGCTCTAATGACGCTGTGCAAAAGTGTTGATCCATAAAGTGAGCACCACATAAAAGTTTTTCAAAATTATCAAAACCAATTGACAAACAAATTGATAAGCCAATAGCTGACCACAATGAGTAACGTCCACCAACCCAATCCCAAAAACCAAACATATTTTTCACATTAATGCCAAATTCTTTAACTTTTTGTTCATTAGTAGATAGTGCTACAAAATGGCAAGCTACTGCAGCTTCCTAAATAATATTGTAATATCATATTAGGTAAGATATAATACATATCAAGCAAAATATGATACTTAATGTATAAATTCTAACTCATTCGCTTACATCTTTTAATGTTTTTAAAAGCCACAGTTTGGCAGTAGTTGCATTCGTTATCGTTTCCTGTGTAGTAAATGTCTTGGAAGCTATTATGAATAAAGTTGTTTCTGGATTTAACTTTTTAAGAGTTTCAGCTATATGAGTACCATCTATATTGCTAACAAAGTGAACTTTAGGTCCAATGCTGTATGCTTTTAAAGCTTCAGTCACCATAAGTGGACCCTATTATAATAAATATTAAATTTTAAATGAATATTTAATAATTATTACGGTAAGAAAAAAAAACTTTTGTGTGAATTACAAGATCAGAGCCACCAATTCCGATGTTGACAACATCTTCAATAGGTTTACCAGTAAATCCTTTCCATTGTTTCGTTAATACCTAAAATAAACATATTTTATATATGAGGATATGTAGAGGAAGGTAAATAAAATTTAATTAAAATTATATATTTTTTTTTTTAATTAAAGAAATGTAAAAAGTGAGTAAATCGCAAAGTAAAAAATTGTGCTCCAAATACGAGATATCCCGAGAAATTGATAATAAAACGCAAAGTACATCAGTATTGCAATTAAAACACTTAATGTTTCTAAAATACAAACAAATACAGCCAGCGTAGGCGTGCGATGCATTACCAATGACTCGTCTTTAGGTAATTAGATCAAACATTACAGAAATAGGCACTTAATTGATCATTCAGGTTTATCCTTTTTATTATTGTACAATAACATTTATACTTTAACAACAATTTTCACTAAGGAACATAAGTTATTTCAAATTAAAAATACTCTGGATATCTCATACTACAATTTTTGCACCTTACGGTTTTATGATCATCAAATCTAACTTCTATAATTAAACAATTCAACATATCTTGTATTTTTCTATTAGTACGATCTTACTCTATCATGAAGAATTTAATGTCAAATTTTTTACTTATTACATAAATTAAGTAATAAAAACAAGGTTTAAAAGCTCATCTCAATGAAACTTAAAGACATCCAAATTTTTTAATCTTTTTTCACAATGACTACAGGTATCTAATAATGAATTTTCCACTAAAGTTTTCAATCCGAGCAATAAATTCATGATGGAATCCAATAGATAGCATTTTTATTAGTTCAGCAGAAACGTCGCTATCTCATATTAGGCATCTATCTTATAATAGGGAGCTTTCCCCTAAATAAAAAAATGAATAATAAACTTACCTCATTTGTAAAGTTTTTCATATGATCCAATACTGCATTAACATCAGGCATTATATCTTTTCCATCTACTAATATGGAAGTATTACTTCTATTACGCAAAGCAATATGCAGAACTGCTCTATTCTCTGTGAAATTTATCTTTTCACCATTAAACATGGCACTTCTTGCAGCTTCTATTTCCCGTGCACGAGCCTGTAAAATAACATAATAACATAATTCAAATGTTAAGAACCAAAAAAATTTTATATATAAATTAATTCTACATACCAAATTAAATAATAATCCAAGTACTTCTTCATTAATTTTATTCTTGGAATAATCCAATAAAATTGGCCCATCTTGTGAAGTAGAGATCTCCAGACTGTTTTACATAATTACTTAAATATTTTATAATTCTATCATTTTTATATATCTTATGTTTATTTAGTTTTCATACTATTCGAAATTTGTTGTAGATTTTAAAAAATTTAGAACCATTTACAGTTCTAATCATGCAAATTAATTAATTATTTAAGAGCATGTATTATTTTTTATTGGATTTAATAAAAAAATGTTTAAAGGTTTATTTAAAAATTTGATATTTAATAGAAAACGAAATATTTAATAGTTTTTTCGATCATATGATAAATAACTTTTAAAAGGTCATCTCAAGGACATGAAAAGCAGACTAGAAAATACCTAAATTTCTCGAAACGTTTAGGATCCTGCTGGAACATATCGTATATATTAATTTTCGAGCCATTATTATCGAAGTATTGCTGCAGCTGTTTCCACGCAGACTCAGCCAATAAATCCGTCTTAGGCTTCATTTTTTAATTTAAGAAAGCCGCGCGTGATTCTCAGTTTGGTTACCGGATGATAGGCTGTTACTGGTTACTGCTATAAGCAGTCATTGGACTTGATACGAGAGACCTCTTTAAAAAAACGAAGAATCTGTAATTTGCAATTATTCCGGCAGAGAACTCTCTTTATCAATATTGCGTTCCTTAAGGCCCTGCGCACAATAAAGAATTATGATTCTAGACTACGTTCCAAAACTTCCTCTCCGAGGAAGATTTTATTCTATATGCTATAGTATACGTTATGTGTACTATATATTTCAAAAATTTTTGGAACATAGCCCTAATCTATTAGAAATCGAAATATAAGATTTCTGATAGGTTGAAATCGTTTATTCTTTATTTCTAATTCCTTATTCCTTCTATTGTGCGTAGAGCCTAACTATGAAAATATTTCATAGTTTACGATTAAAGGGCAGCTACAATAGAAGGATTAAAAATGTCTTTTCATGTCGACGCTTGACGCTCATTTTCGGCGCCAAAATGAGTCACGTGATAGAAATCGACGAATTTCAAGCGTTAATATGAAAAGGCACTTTTAGGAAAAAAGATTTCAACTTATCAGATATCGGATACATCGGAATACACAGCTTCTAATAGGCTGAAATCGTTAGTCCTTATTTCTTATTATAAAGGTCGCTTTAATCACAGTATGGTTATACTGTGCTTTAACAAACTTAATCGACTAATTAGAATTGGCTATTGGAATTAGCCAATCGCATCGTCAAACAAAATGACAATTGCGATTGGTCAATTCCAATGGACTAATTCACTACTCGACCGATTACGTTTGTTAACGTGATCCTAAGAGAGCATTTATAAACATATACCGTAATCTGTAAAAATTAACCAATCACTTTTGAGTATTCCCTCTTGAGTATTCCCGCCGAATGAAATACTTGACTGTGATTAATCAATTCTTACAGATTACAATTATGACCAATATAAACGCTCTCTAATTCTTTATTCCTTCTATTATAGCCGCACCATTATAAAAAAAAGAATAATAATAATTAAAAAACATTAACAATAATTGTAAGATAGTTGTCGCATTTGTTTTAGAAAAAAAATCAAATTAGGAGAAATGTAAAAAAATTGCTCCTACATATAATTATGTATAAATTTATATATAATTATATATCAGCAATTCTTACATTTCTCCTAATTTGATTTTTTCTAAAACAAACAATGCGAAAATTATTTAATCATTTTTATTTTTTTATTATTAATATTTTTTTAATACTAAACAGAATAATTTTACAAAAGAAAGAAGGAAGTATGAACATGTATGGACATATTTCATAATTATATATGTTTATGCATGTGTATATATATTTATATATATTCGTAAATGAAAAATTTTTTACCGGAATATAAGTAATACAGCCACAAAATAATGAATTGTTTATCACTTAGTAGCAAAATATAGTGTGACAGTTCTGTGGCATGTTTTTTCTAAAAAGTCGTAATCAATTTTTTTTTAATTTTTCAAAATTACAATTTATTTAAAGAATAAAATATTTATAAACATATCAACATTATTACAATATAAAAGTACAAAAAATATAATATACAATATACAAGCTTGCAGCTCTATTTATAATTTTTGCTTAACTGAGTTGGAAGTGATTTTTTTCCTTTTTGTCCCTTTCTTCTTTGCATTATCGCTTATCGTGTATGATCGTCTATTTATTTCTCGAACTCTTATATACGTGCGAATTTTTACTAAATAATGCAGCACTTCATTAGGTATTTCATTCCCGTAATGTCCACTATTTTTCACGAGTGTCACAACTTTTTTTATCACAAGGTTCTCTTTTGAAAAATAGTTACCGTGGAAGTGTACAAAATATCTTTCAACAACTTTGGTTGCGTTTAAGAGTTCTGCTGAAGGATTGATAAAATAATCTTTAGAGACAGTTTCAATCCATTTTGATGTGGTTCCATCTACATTTTCAGTAGTTCCTAAAGATGGGTATTTTATTTTAAATTTATAAGCGACAAATCCTGCGATATATTCTAATCCCACTTCTTGTACAAGATTTAAACAATCAAATGTGCCTTTAAAGCCATCCTTCGTTATGTCAAATAGCTCATCATCATAAATATCATCGAAGCAAATGTCAATCATTGATTCATTATCATAATTACTGGCTTCTATTAATTCGTTCGAAGAAATATTAATAATATTGGAGAATAATTCTTTGGTTAGAATTATTTCGTCGGCGCATTCTTCTGTACGTTCGAGCGTTTCTTCCTCTTGCCAAAAGCTATCATTTGATTTCGAAGAGTACAGTGTCATTCCTTGAATTGGCATAGACGTGAGCTTCTGAGAAGTATTTGCTTCTACCGTCAAAGTTACTGGAGTTGCTAAAGTCATCGATTTTTTAGCACTTGAATTTGTCACATCGCTAATAGAAGAAGACATACAAGTAGTATCCATATCTTCTTCAGTGTTTCTGTTTAAAGTAAATATAGCTTGCGAATGATTCTGACCCAGAATGTACCAACGAAGTCTATATCTAAAATCATATGCTGAAAGATGATCCTTGGATGTATCCATTGCCCTTAAATGAGTGAAGAAATTTTCCAGAACATCCAATTGAAGTCTTCTTGTAAGGATATACTGGCAGTCCACTGGATATTTTGTTTGCAGATACTGGAACAATGCTCGTAGAGATCGATTGCTTACAAGAATGCCTTTTTGAAAAGGCATTAGTGCCTTTCTGAAACCAACTCGAATGTTCTCAGTATATAAGGTCATCAATAATAAAATTGACTCTTGTATTTCTAAGTTTTGTCCATAACCGTTGACTCCTGGATGCGATCCGTATCTTAATTTTGAATTGTGCACATCGAACCACTTGTTGACTGTTGACACGAATTCTGAAAACTTCTCGTATTCCGAAGATTTCAAAAGCCCATGTTCGCCAGCCCACTGGATTGCTTTAGCAGTTGTATGCGACCAAATTCTTGCTGCTGATATAACTGATTCACGTTGCGAACCACAAACATCTAGCAGTTGCTGAGTAATACGATGAGCGACACGTAGACCGTCAACATTGCTCATATCGACAAGTGCCTGGAAGATTTCACGAGTAAATAGTTCTTTGCTATTTCCTAGTAACAGTCCATCATCAAATAATCGATTTCTCAAGAGTTTCAACAGATGTGGAACATCTGCAAAAACAAATACTTTTTCCTCTTCGTTCACAGGATGATCAAAAAAGTATTTATTATATTTATAATTGATGTCCAATTCTGTCCAGATCCCTCGGTTATCCATGTCTGAAACTATAGCGATTACTTGATAACCAGCACTGTACAAAAGTGTTATGGACTCCAGTAGAATGCATTTGTTCATTGGTTGGTCAAATTTGTAATAAATCGGTTGTTTCCAATTGCTAAACAAACCGCGAACCATCATGACTTGCACTTTTCCATATGGGCCAGCCAATTTTTCGAGTTTAGCATCAAAATTTATTTCAGAAGAGACGGCCATTTCGTCGAAACTGAGAACAGCAAGTTTCTCTAGCGATGACAGTTCCTTGCCTTTCTCTCGCATTACAGTTAGAACGTCACTTAAGAATCCTTCTTCAATACGGAACTTTTTTAATGCCCATCTTCTTAATGACGCTAACGATGGCAAAGGGTAATGCAATTTCGTTCGAAGATAGCAGTAAGCTTTAGGACTTACACTCTGTAACGAAATGGCTGCAGCGTAATCATCAGTAGACCATTGAATCGATTTTTTTTTCTCCAAAATACACCGAATTTGCCCTTCTGTAAAGTAAGGTTTTAATAGTCCTATGACATATTCTTCTCTTTCGTCTTCGAAAGTCTTCTTGGCCGCAGTAGTAATCGCCAATTGTGTTTGATCGTTAATCAATTGCAGTATTTGTTCCTTTTCGGCAGATATCTTTTTCAATTGTTCGTCTTTCTCTTGTAATTGTTGCTTTAATGCATCTAGTTCCAGTGGTATTTGCATTGCACAATCTGTACATTCTGATTTAATATTAAGTTCAGGCGATGAACAATACTGTAATTCTGTTTTAACGGACGTCACATCTACTTGTAAGTCATACATTTCAATTGGTTTTGAGTCACTGCTTTTGATGCTCTCGTTATGTGTGTGTGTGTGATTCTCCATGGAAATTCTGGAAAGACGTTATCATATAATTCATGGTATTTAAAATAAAGTAAAATTCATATATTGTACATTAAATAACATTTTTATTGAAATTACACTTTTTA